TCCACCATGGAAATAGATCTGTACCCTATTTGGTGCCTGGGTACACCTGTGATAAGCCCTCTCAAATGACCTACAATAGACAGATTAAACTCTTACTGCCCCAGAGTTCAGTGCATAATAGACAATATGGCTGCGTCTAGATTGGAATGATTTTCCGGAAATGCTTTTAATGGAAAAGTTTTCCGTTAAAAGCATTTGCGGAAAAGAGCATCTAGATTGGCACGGACGCTTTTCTGCAAAAGCACTTTTTCGCCATTTTCGCGATCAGGGCTCTTTTGTCCAAAACAAATCTGAGCTGTCTACACTGGCCCTTTTGTGCAAAAGCTTTGCGCAAAAGGACTTTTGCTTGAATGGGAGCAGCATAGTATTTTCTCAAGAAGCACTGATTTCAGAGAGTAGGAAGTCAGTGTTCTTGTGGAAATTCAAGCGGTCAGTGTAGACAGCTGGCAAGTTTTTCTGCAAAAGCAGCTGATTTTGCGGAAAAACTTGCCAGTCTAGACACAGCCTATATGTATATGTAATGCTAGTCCCTTCCTATGTTGACTATAAAATACTTTCCCTTTCTCTTCAGATAGAATTGCTCTTGAATCCTTTCAGGTTTACAGATACTCTTTTAATACAATAAAACATTCTCATCACTTTCATTTTCCAAACTTGTGGTACTGCCTAGATTTAGGTTAAGATAGTTAACATATGCATATTGTGCTGCTAGCTTTTGGAATGCTTTGCTATCAATGTGAGTGGGGATCAGGATCCGTACTTTCAAGATTCTCGCCCAACCCTCCCAGGAATTCTCTGACTTGTTTTTAAAGGTTTCATGACATAAAAGATTCTGCGTAAACATTACAATGATGGGCACAGACAGACCAAACTGTAGAGGAGCTTGCAGCACAGCGGATGTTAAATAGAGGGGCGATGGTTTTAAATCTAAAGGGGTAAATTTTGAGAAACTTACTCAGTCTTTACAAAGTTCTCATTAATTTTGCAGAGAGTTTTATATAAGAGCTGAGCCAAACTGAGGGTCAGCTTGTGTCTCCTTAAAGATCTACGCATGCCTCTCAGCCTACTATGTGGAAAAGGGAGCCAGCCATGGCTTCATCCTCTTCTTCTGGACTCCACAGAGAGATCTCCATGAACCGAGGCATCCATTTGGGGGAGGAACTGGGGCTCGCATTGTCCTCCTGCTGGTTCTGTGGAATTCCTCATGGAAAGATGAGACAATCAGATGTCCATGGAGCAGTGACTAGCTGTGGGAGCCCTGCTAGTGTTGTTTCATTGGGGATATAAAGCCAGGGAGTGATCAGTGTGAGACTTATGAGGGCAGAGAGCTTCTGCATGAATGGCACCAGTCCCACAGGGCCCAAGGCTAATTCCTTGTGGAAAAGTCATGTCCCTCAAAGGAAACAATTTTGGAGCACATGCAGTGTTGGAAAGCTTGCAGAAGTTTCCTCTGTCTTCCTTTCCCATGTTGTGTATTAATTCCATTGGAGAGGTTCTTGGGCCCTGAGTAAGGGCTTTAGGATTTGATCCAAAGGAAAGTATGTGGAAAAAACCCCCAACAGCTGTGCTGTAGCATTGCAGAGATAGCACTATGAATGTGAGCAGATTGAATACGGGAAGGCTATTTACTATTGTTAATGTTTCTCTTATTGTTTTTCTAGGATCTAGTTCAGGGTCAAAATTAAAAGGTCCTGAACTGAGTATAAAAGGCGCACAGCACGTCATTCGAGCAGGCCAGACTTTAAATCTCACATGCAGGTAACCAGATGATTTGGCTTGCATAAATTGCCCGGGTATTAATCCACCTGACTTTTTTTTTTCATTACTGAAACTGGAAAAATAACCAGTGTTGTGGGAGTGAGGGAAGGGGTGGGGGGGGAGGACGGGACGGACAACTTCAATAGCAATTGTTTAATAGCTGTATGTTGTTTCCGTTGTTGTTTTTGGAGAACAAGATTAAAGAGAACCCCAGAAATAGCCTGATATAATAAAACAGAAAGCTTGGGAACAAGAGCTATATAATTGTAGTCCAACATCATTGTTTTTACTTCCTTATCATTGTTTGCAGGGGGGAAATGGTTCATTCATGGTCTCTGCCTGAAGCTCCAAGTAAGGAGAGCAAAAGGCTGAAAGTAATTAAATATGCCTGTGGAAGGAATGGCAAACAGTTCTGTAGTAGCCTGACCTTGATCAGAGCTCAAGCAAATGACACTGGATACTATAGCTGCAAATATGCATCGTCAAGTGCTGTAAAAAAGAAGATAGAATCAACAGTCTATGTATTTATTAACGGTAAGATTCCATTTTTTAAAATTGTTCCTTTGTATTTTAAATTCAACATTGCTAAAGTGGCCAAAAGTTCTACAAGCTGACTGTGCTTAAATGTCTAAATGATCCATTGGAATGACATTTTCAGCTTTGTAAAATGGTTGTGCAAAATTTACCTACCCTTGTGCAAAATCTGCTTGCCCACCGTTTATTGTGAGGCAGGATGGTAATGCAAAAAAAAAAAAAAAGTGCCAAATGTTTTATGTGCTAGTGAAAAAGAATAGAAGAACTACCCCCTGCCCTCCGCCACCCCAAATCCAAGCACACATCAAACTGGGCAAGCAGAATTTTGCAATGTTGATTTATCTGAAATGAAATCAGATCAGGTGTGCATCTGAGAACAGATTATGCCAATGCAAAACCATCTCTCACTGTATCATATGCTAATTCAAAATATCTCTGCTATGGTATTCCTTATAGATGTTAATTGCCATTAAAAGAGCAGAGGAGGTATGTGGCCAAAGGCTGCCAAATACTGTTTTGTTGAAGTTGGAAAGATCCACTTTCCAGCTTACCAGGGAATGTTCTCATCCTATAGAAAATTAATGCTTGAGTGTTTGCCACTTTCCAAACATTCAGTACTCTGGAATACTATCTGATATTAAACATATTGATTCTATTTTGTATCATTCTGAATATCAGCTCTTTTGTGTTCAGCAACCAAAATTATGTAATATATGGAAAATGCCTGCATTAGGCAGTTAATTATAGTAATAGGCTGGCCCTGTTCTCTATAGGAATATTAATCAAGCACAAAGTTTACTAAAAATAAAATAAAGTTATAATAAGCCCTAGAGTTCTGCTTTTGTTTTTGAATTTTAATCTTCCTTGAGCTTTAATTCATTGGATTTACAGCAAAAAGGCAACTAGATTAATGTTTGGTAGTAGAGTAATAGATTTTAAAAACACGTGATAGAGAGAATCCAAAGTGGAAACTCTTCCTAATTATGTGTCTGCCTCTTCTATTGAAATAATTATGGATTGGATAATTCTTGGTTTTGGTCTTACAAAATGAAGAACATGATTGAGCCTGTGGAAAATGGAACCAATCTGATGTGTTATTTATCTCTGATAGAAAACAAGAGACTTGTCCATTATGGTTTATATACTGCCTTACTTAGAATTTCTCAATAATTTATATAGTAATTTCTGTTTTTTCTACTTCAGAAAAACACTATGAAAGTATATGTGCCTCTCAGGCTATGTCTAGACTGCAGGTTACTTTCAGAAGAAGCTTTTCCAGAAGAGATCTTCCAAAAAACCTTCTTCTGAAAGAGAGCGTCCACACAGCAAAAGCACATCGAAAAAGAAATCTGTTTTTTCGAAAGATAGCGTCCACACTGAATGGACACTATCTTGCATTTAAGCTGTGATTACTAAGGACGGAGTGGCTACGAGGGCATCTGTGCTTTTTCCTCTTTCCTCTTCTTTCGAAAGAACTCCTTCTTCCCCGTCCACACATGCCTTTTTCTGAAAGAGCTCTTTTGGAAAAAGGCTTCTTCCTCATAGAATGAGGATTACCAGCGTTGGAAAAAACCCTCTGTTCTTTCGATTTTCTTTTGCAGTGTGGGCGTAACTTAAGTTTTTTTAGGAAAAACAAATGTTTTTTCGAAAAAACTCTGTAGTGTAGACATACCCTCAGGCTGTGTCTACATTGGCACCCCTTTCCGGAAAAGGGATGCTAATGAGATACTTCGGAATTGCAAATGCCGCGGGGGATTTAAAATGCGGGGGCATTTGCATGAACAGGCCTGCCGCTTTTTTCCGGCTCAGGGTTTTGCCGGAGAAAAGCACCAGTCTAGACGGGATCTTGCGGAAAATAAGACCTTTTCCGCAAGATCCCTTCTTCCTACTTTCAAGACTACACCTCTCTGCACGTCGAAATTGATGATGAATTGAAGAGATTTAAATATCCTGCACTTCATTAGCATAAACATGGTTGCCGCTTTTTTTCGAAATTGAGCTTTTTTGAAAAAACAAAACAAAATGGCAGTCTAGAGGGGATCTGTTGAAAAATAAATCCTTTTTTGAAAGATCCTGTAAACCTCATTTTTTGAGGAATACAGGATCTGTCGAAAAAGGGTTTATTTTTTGACAGATCCCCATCTAGACTGCTGGGTTGGTTTTTTTTTCGAAAAAGCTCCATGTTTATGCTAATGAAGTTCAGGATATTTCAACGTGTCTAATCTACATCTCTCTGTCGACAGAGAGGTGTAGTCTAGATACAGCCTAGGAGACCCCTATATGTTTGTATCTCCCTCTTTCTCTCATTCTCTCATTCTCTTTCCTGATGATGTGTTAGCACTACTTGTGTATTCCTGAATTAAATTGAGACACAGTCAGTTTTTCTCCCTCTTGTGTGCTTTATGAGTTGTGTCTGTTTCCTTGTATTTGAAAGAGAATCTATGTTAGGGTATGTCTACACTACCCTCCTAGTTCGAACTAGGAGGGTAATGTAGGCATACCGCACTTGCAAATGAAGCCCGGGATTTGAATTTCCTGGGCTTCATTTGCATAAGCGGGGAGCCGCCATTTTTAAATCCCGGCTTGTTCGAACCCCGTGCAGCGCGGCTACACGCGGCACGGACTAGCTAGTTCGGATTAGGCGTCATATCCGAACTAGCTGTACGCCTTATGGAACGAGGTGTACAGCTAGTTCAAAAATGGCGGCTCCCCGCTTATGCAAATGAAGCCCGGGAAATTCAAATCCCGGGCTTCATTTGCAAGTGCGGTATGCCTACATTACCCTGCTAGTTCGAACTGGCGGGGGAGTGTAGACATACCCTTAGATGCATGAGAGTCAGGCTGGTCCTTCTAGTGGATGCAGAGGCCTGGAGAGAAACAGATTCCTAGAGGCAGAGTAGTCTCTGCAGGCAGGACCATTAATATGCCAGGTATAAAAAATTCAAACCATTAATATGCCAGGTATAAAAAATTCAAAAGTGCCTAAGTGATTTAGGAGTCTAAGGCCTGTTGACTTAGATTTATATTTATAAGAGCCTAAGTCTATTTTGAAAATGGTACTTAGATTCTTTTGAAAACTTTACCGTCCACCTTGTTTCCCAGGAAACTTGGGACAGGCTGTTCAAGAGGCAATCCTGTCCTGTGCTGAGAAATCTTGAGCACCCCACTTTTTGGAATTTGCTTACTGTGACATGTCCATTCCTTAACAATCAGATGTTGATAATCTCAACATAAATCACAATGGGCAAAAGCCAGCTGAGGGATAAAAGAATAAGTTGCAGCGCAACTACTTGATCTGTGTAATATAATTCCTCTGAACTATGGTAAGGTGGGGGAGGGAGGGAACTGATTAAGCCTACATGGATTTTACAACTTCCAGAGGAAATGTTGAGCCAGCTAAGGTAGGAGCATCTTTGTGAATACACAAAGGACAGTTGTTACACCGAGGTAGGTGCAGATGCGACCCCAGCTTGTGTTTGTAAATTTGTTCCTAGGTGGTTCCCCTGTAGCTCTGAGTTCAGGAATTACAATTCCTAGGATGTATCAGGAGGGAAGAGGAGGAAGAGGGGAGGAGAGAAGTAAAGGAAGAATTTGAGCCCTGTGAAAGAGTGAGGGGAACAAACTTACCTTTGCCGCTATCAAACTTCTCAAGTCTTCCTTAAAGGGGCGAGGGTACAAAACAAATTGATGATAGGCATGAAAGAACCACAGAAAAACAGAAACTCCACTTATCCAAGTGCCTCCTGATTCCTACTGCTGCAATCTATTTCTCTTGTAGAATCAGTCTGGCACTATCATACCTGAGGTAAAATGAATGCAATTAAAGTGCCTCAGCTTAAGTCAGTACTCATGTATTGAGCTCTATTTGGAAACAAATAGATAAGATTCCTTTGAAGGTTTTAATTTTTTAAACTAATTTCTGTTTGCAAAGGAAAAAAAGGTTACAAAATCGGGATCGTTATTGGTTGTTTCCTGTCACAGGATGTACATGTCAGTCAGTTTCCCATCTTTCATGTGGATCACTACAGTGTCCCTTTCCCATTTTTTAACACTCTGCACAAGAGAGTAAATAATTGCTATTTACATACACAGAAACGGAATCATGAAAGTTGATATTGTTTGTTCAGGAAGTCCTCACTTAATTGTTTTGCAAATGTTACTTACTTCCGTAATTACAGTGACTTTGAATATGAACTGGATAGAAAAGAATAGACATATTAAGCCTTTCAATTCAGTAATACAAATGTGCTATTGCAGAGGAAAAGGTTATAAACACAGAAAGGAATATCTACCTCCCTTTTCCCCTGTGGGGTAATGAAAATTCTAGCTGAAGAAGATAAGATGAAAATCTCATATGCCTCAACATGGTACTTTCAAGATCTTAGATTTCCATTATCATCTTGCCAAGCCACATGAAGTTTTTTTCAGAAGCCAGTCAATGTAGAAAACCACTTTTCCATTGTAGCGACTCATATTGAGTTGCATGGGAGAATGAGTGCACAGTCTATGTCAGGCCTGGGCAGAATACTAGTTCTGGCCCATGGGTGCAGCGCGGAGCCTCAGGCAGACTCCCTGTTTCCCCCCTCCCCAAACTTTGCTAAGAAAAGTGTCTGTCGCAGCTGTTTTTCTTTCTCAGCTATGAGGCCAGGGGAGGCGGAAATGGTGCTTCATATACTGCTCCCACCCCCTGCACAATCCCATTGGCTGATTTCTGGACAATGGGAGCTGCCTGTTTGAAGAGCAGGAAGTGCACAGAGTACCCCTGACCTCTCCCGTCAGGTTCTTATTCACCAATGCACATGGCCTCTGCCGCCTTTGTGGGAATGGGGCAGGTAGGGAAGCTGCCTTTGAAACTTGGTGGGCTGCTGGCCGGAAGTCACCCAGGTAAGAGACCTGGCCAGAGCCTGCCTCAGGCACCCCAGCCACGCTCTCCTCCCAGCCCTCTGTCCCCCCACACCTGCCCTTCTACCCCACATAAGCCAAACCATCTGTCCCCCTCC